CATTGAAAGTCAGTGACTTTGGGACTTATGAACTCACTGCAGAATGTAGTAAGCATCTGGATGGACTAACAAACAGTACCAAGACTAAATCGGAGTCGTTGTTTCTGGATGTTCTGCCTGGACCTGGAAGAAGTAAGTTAGACTGACTTGATTAATTTAAATTCTTTTTACTAATCCCATCGGTGTGAGAATTTTTTATTTATACATTTATATTTCCAAGGGTCTTCGTGATCACTTCTTTTTTATAAATCGAWTTAACGCTCATATTGTAGGATACAAAAAGCTGAAAGATTTGCCTCCTCAAACCGTCAAAGAAGATATTATTGCATATCACTTATCGACCAAGACCCCTGGGATTGGAAATTGGAAGAGAGTGGCTGAGCTTTATGGAATACCTAACGAGGGTATTAAACGCATTGACCCAAGAAACAAAGAGGATGGAGATTATGGTTCTGCAATAAACACTCTTGAATATATCGAATCATCCTCCCCTAAAGAGACAGTCTACAATTTTTGCAAATGTTTAAAAAAGATTAAGCAGAATGCAATAGTGGAGAAATTGGAGGATTACTTGGTATGTGAAGATAAAGGACAATCTGAATGCTGAAGCTCCCAATGGCCGACAGTTGATAAAATCGATTCTGAAACATCGAAGGATGAACAAGAAGAGTCTGGGTTCAAACAAGGTAATGCCGTCACTTAGAGATGGTTTTCTCTGGCCAAAAGAACGGAGCCTACAAGGACGAGGGCTGCATCCCAGGTCAAGCAACAGAACGAAACACTGAATTGAACAGTGTCGACCCCTCCCCTCCAATGAAAATCCTGGATACGCCCATGTGACTGTAAATCATCATCCACTGCAGCGATTTAATTATTTGTTTTCTTTTTTGCGAGTAATCGGCTCGTTAGTATAGCTGTTTATGTAGCGCCCCAAGTGTGTTCGCCAGTTTCAGCCACTTGTAAACCTAATAATGTATTCAGTTTGACYTTCGTTTGTAGCAGTGGCTTTGTCAACGCTTTGGTGAGTTTTATGTGATTTCATTTAGTTTCAGACAGGACACCAATGTGTAATTTCTGTGCATTTCGGTAGCGTAGACTGCGTAGATGCATTTATATTCACTTRCGCCCCTGTCACTTTAAACCAGAGTCTCCATCGCAAACTTAAGCCTACAGCGATTGTGTCAAGTTTCAGGTACAACACTAACATGCAAAACCGAATTCGGGCCTTAGCCCAAATACGAGCAAAAAACGCGTTCATTGAATTCAATGGATTTTAAAAGCAGGGTGAAATTATTGACATTTAAATGCTGATAGTTACAGAGACTTACAATGTTTGTCGCTACGAAATAAGGTTTGACGCTAAGAAAYAAAGTTTCACGCTAAAAATTAAAGTTTGACGCTATGAAATGAAGAGTATAAAGGTAAAGTGGTTGTTAATTCTTCCATATTTTATTTACATATTTTCAAACCAAGCAATAAATATTACTGTACAAAGACAAGATCGATGGATAAAATACGTGTAGAATCATATATCATTATATTATTAGGCTTATAGTACAGTACTACAGATGATAAATGTTATAGAATGTCACAGTGTTCCTGTGCAGCCATYCAAAAATGTCATTTATTTCATGACCCAACTTTATTTGCCGATGGTGTTATGCGAACCATCACTTCTCGTTCSATTGACACAGTCCACAAACTTTCCCATCATTCTGCTTGCTATTACTGCGTAACGTTGCACAATTTGAAGCTTTCAGTACCTTAGACTAGCCAAATTTTTGTACTTTTGTACTTTTTTTTGTAATTTTTGTTCTGAATAAGGTGCCATGTATGAATGCCAATTGTTATGCGGATTGTCAGAAATTTCAACAACGGTGAATTAACATGAAAAGTAAGAAATATGGCTCATCCAGAAACTCTTTGCTGGAACAATAAGATTAATTCCAAATAAGGCAAACTTGATTCCAAATAAGGCAACATCACCAAATATGGATGTTAGCTGATATCAGAACTATTCCCTAKGGGTTGTATCGTTGTCCTCCAGTGGATAACTAATGGCCACTACTCGTTTGCCATCGGTATTCCCGTCAACGTTCCCCCCCGTCAGTACCCCCGTACTACTTGGCTTTTCACGCMTCAAAATACTCACAAATCGCTTTCGAAACCGCTGACTACAAAGACTGAAGACGACGGGRTTAACGCTGGAATTGAGAAGAACCAAGGCCTCTGGGAGACTGTACACRGGGTCAGCGCTGTTCCATTGCGAGGCTAGAATGTTATATAGAATGAGGTCCGATGACCAACAGATGACGTAGATTAGAGTCACGATAAGCAGCATTTTGGTCACGCTCTTGCGTGACTTGACTGCAAAGTTTTGCGTGGTGGGTTGTACARTAGAGTTCTTTTTAAACCATAAGCGTTTGATGACCCGACCATAWAGGTATGACATCAAGACCAARGGGATAATTAATAGGAAAATCAGTGTAAGTGTCGAGAACGCCGATGCTGCTTTTAAGTCTGTCCAATTCTCGATGCACGAGTTGATTTTAGGATCTATTTCTAGCACGAGGAAGAGCGGAGACATGAACACAAAAGCATAYATCCAACACAAGACGACAGTGAACTTCACTTTGTTGATGGTGAAGCGTTGTTTGAAGGGATAAATAACAGCAAAGAATCTCTCAAACGATAGCACGACGATGGAGAAGCTAGACGCCGTCGCWCCAATCCATGCCAGATTCCCCCCTGTAACAAGCTTACATAACAAGTCACCAGCGTTACCTACCGGATGAGAGAATGCGTGACGCAGTAAATGACGCGGGAAAAAGAATATCCCAACCATGAGGTCYGCGATGCTCATATTTAGGACGATCATGTCACGTGGTCTTCGCTCTCTCTTGCGACATGACAGTATGATGTACACAAGAAGAGTATTCCCGATGATGTCAATCAAAATAAGTATGACGTAGATGGTGATGACAACAATGTCCATGGGGGGTAACATGGCTCTTAGTTACGTAGCTTATTCTCTGGAAGTATTGAAAAAAAGTAATATTATTCTAATGTTATCGCTCTAGTATTCATTAATGGTTTGTCAAATCTTGTATTCCGCTTATCAAGCTACGTGATATCATGTGCTTTAACTTGTATAACGCCAAAAACATTGACTAGATTTAGTTATGATATTAAATATACTTTTAAGTATATTTAATATCATAACTAAATCTAGTCAATGAAAAAAAAATATTATCATATGAGGAAGTTGCTGATCCCATTAAAGAGTGCTCAATACACATATAGCGTAGATATAATATCAAAGAGGCAAGATTCTCTGTTACTCCGAAGTAACAGAAAATCTTGCCTCTTTGATATGATATGTACATAATTAATATTATTGATAATTCAGCAATATGCAAAAATGATAACTATACAAAATATATCAGAAATTATGGAATATCATCGCGAATATTTTTTTGAAGTTGCTTAGCACTAGTACTTTCTGAAAGAAATATTGGCAATGACATCCCATATCTTTTGATATCTTTTATATATATTTGGATTATGAGTCAAAAAGATCATAATTTCTTCATATTGCCGTATAATACGTTATATACAGCGATGCAATTATAAATATTGAAAAAATATATATTATCTTTATCATCATTTGGTGGCCAGCTTTACAAACTCTTTATACGAACCATAACTCATGATTTCTTCATTATGAGCATCACTTAGTCCACTTACCAGAACGAAACTCGACGTTTTTTAACAGAAACTTGTACAACGGCACTTGTCAGGCCTCGCGAACAGCACAACCGTTTAATACTCTAGTAAAAAGCATTTGAGATCTTATTCTTGATTATTTCTTGTGAAGTAAGGTCCGTGTAAACACTTGAGCGTTCTAATAAGCGTCCCTAGGATGCTGTCACTTAATTTAAAGATAGGCTGCCCAATGTTATTGAATACACTTGCAGCCCAGCAGGTTCATATTAAAAAAAACAGAAAAACTGATTCGTTTTGTACTTGTGAAGGTCACACTCATGATAAATGTGAGATGGTACGCAAAGCTACTTCGAAAAGACTTAATAATCACTTGGCATGCGTTAGTGATAACAATGATATGAACTTCCTGTTTACGAAGCACTTATGAAGATTTAAAAAAAAAACTTATCGCGTAAAACTTTTCTTAAACTTTGAAAGTCATAGTCAGTCTTTTTTCTTACTTTATTGCTTTTGTTGTTGTAGCTTGTAGTCGTCCCGAAAAACAACATTAGCAATACTAAAAGTTATTCACACTAGTCACCATCTATGATAATAACAATGATACCATCAACAATAAAATTGCTTTTATCATAAAACTTTMATGCTATATGTTAAACTGTTTTCGTTTTKAAAATCACCTCTTTCGACACACTACACCAAGACTTTGAATGAAACATGTTTCGTCTATTAGACCTTTTCAATMATTGTTACTCTTTAGTGATCAGCTTTAAAAAGATTTCTAGAAAATATCATAAAACTGTTAGATACAAATCGATCGTGATTTTTTCCTTGGTTGAAGTCCTACTTGTCCGTGAAGGTAATTTCTTGAAAAGGGTTTTGATTTGATTTTGCAGGTTATAATTTCAAGTATGTCAAGTGGTGCTTAAGGCGCTTTTCAAATAATTTAGTACTCAACTTAATCAACATTTACGGTATATACATGACCAGCAAACCAATTTTTCCTTGAAAAACGTACGTGTTTGAGTACGTTCCAAAAATGCGAATGAGTTGAGTTTTTCATCAAAGATTTGCGAGCTAGTGATTTTCTAATATAAATCGAATCAAGTTAGGAAGTCCACTCTTGACTTCATATCCTTTTTACTATCAAAATCATATAAATTTTTTTTATTAAATGAAACGTTTGGATCTTTGTCCATTATTTTGATACCACATCAAACGGATATCCGTTTTAAAAACAAAATTWCGGCGGTTTTGTGAAACTAAATCTCAGTGAATACTTTTATACTTTTAAAAATTATATTTGTTCGTTTTATACTTTTACATATTATCACATTGTTTGAACTATTAAGATCATGTGAAAAAAAAAACAAAAAAACAAAAAAACAAATGAAAGGCTACTGTAAAGAAATGTTCCCTTGGGATTCTAGTGCACTTTGCACTCCGCTGTCAAAAAGGTCTTAATAACTTGTTGGATCTGTTAGATTTTAGACACAACATTTATCAAACACCAATATGGCCACCATGAGCTATTTTAAAGGTATTTTATAATTAAAAGTACACAGGAGTCAGAATTTTAAGTCCATAGTCTTATATTACTTGTTTCAAAACGATTTCATAAGTTAGTGGTTAGATTTTTGACGCAAACTAATTTAAAATACAAACAAGCAATGAAGTAAGTACGTCCGCCATTTTTTTTTTTTACGTCCGTCATTTTGTTTTTCATCGTCACAAGTTACAAAAGAGCAAGTTTACAATTCGATCATTTAGGTTTTTCTAATAATATCAAAACAATTTGAATATTAATACTTTGTTTACACGACGAAAAAATAAAGCGCGTTGATTGTGAACTATCCGCCTATTAATACAGCTGCTACCGCGGACTCGTAAGCTGGTTCAGCCATATTGAATACAAGAAAGTGTGCCGTTAGGCAAAACTGCTGCAAATCTAGAAAAATCTACAGTTTAGATTGTTTAGTATGGGAATCGCTCTAACAATTTATCTTGAGCGTTATGCCGGAGTCTTGTGTGGTCAGTCAAAAATAACTTTTATTGAAAAAGTTGAAATATCCTGCTGACTAAGTCTTTAGCTTTTCATATCAAGCTGTGTTTGCTTCGTTTCCATTAAAATATACACAATTCTTTCTAACAAAGAGATTAATTATCGCTTTACAGACAAGATCGTGAATCAAAAATATTTAAAATTTCCTTTTAATACCTGAAAAGCGAYATTTTGGTGCTGTTTAGTTGTTTGTTCAAGACTTGTGATGTGCTATGAAAAATAGAAGACTTAATTTCAACTCAAATAAACTCTATTCCAGTAAATCAACTCGATATAAAGTTCGCATTTAGTCTACCGTTGATGAACAAGATAAGATTTTGTATATTATCAGTGTTATTTTTCAGGGCACCGAATTGAATATTAGATATTTTAAGAATAACTTTGTTGCGTCCCATGTTTACCACCGCGATGAGGTATTGGAAACAAGAATAAATTAATGACGCACAACCATGCCAAAACAAGCAAACCTTTCATACTAAATATGGCCAAGATACTATTGTAGAACAACAAATAAATATTTGAGAATAATAAACTTCAATAACAACACAACACCTTATACACTTTGGATATTGTTATAATATGTGAACAGTTCATCAAATATGTTTTTTTTTTGACTATTTGGCTCGAAATCGTCATCAGAAATTTTGGTCGAAACCTTGATTACTTTTTAAGTTATCATCAAAACGTAGAAAAAAGGATAAATAATCTAATAAATAAAGTAATGAATATGCTTCTCTTGATTTTCATGACTATATAAAGTAAATGACCAGTTTTTAATTATTAAATCAGTGATCATTAAGTGAAACTATATTTAAAAGGTACTGATAGAATCTCAAACATACCACAAAATTGTTTCTCTGTGTTYCGCCGTCAATGMAAGTCGATGTATCAGTTTATAWTGTAAACYATTACCACACAAAGTATGACTGACTAGTTCCCTGTTCTTGATCTGTTTTTATTTCCTGTTCTGTATTTGTGTTGTGAATGGCAACTCAAATTATCGCCAGGTATGTGTGTATATAAGTGAACAACGCGTCTTTGTTTTATTGGAATAGCAATAGCCGACTTGCGAATTACGCATCAATAGTTACATACAAAGGAATCAAGACGAGGCGCCGTGCTTTTTTGTGAAAATCTATTGTCTTTAGCACGGCGCCTCGTCTTGATTCCTTTGTATGTGACTATTGATGCGTAATTCGCAAGTCGGCTATTGTGTTTGTTAAGCACAGCTTGCTTTATGTGTTTCGCACTTAAAAATTCGGAAAAATTAATCCAACCTCGCTTGGATTCGAACCCACAACCTTCGGACTTGTACAATTCTGCCTAAGCTGAGCTATAACGTCAGATTGGAAGCACATTGATACTTTTTTTCGTATTTTTTTTAAATATTATTTGATAATTTCATCTGTCAATCTGATGAACGTGTTGATTTTGTTTTATTTCATGACCAGATTATATTTTTAATCAGAATAACTTAATAACATTCCTTATAGCACACTTGAGATGCCGTTGGTGAAAATCCACCTCACATAGAGATTCGCTGATTTTCAAGAGGCGATGAATTACGCATGAAGAGAGACGAGTTCCTAGAACCAGGAAAGACCAACGGCAAGTTTGTTCTAATATTTGTCAGTCACGTTTGCTTGTTTTGTTTATACCGAAATTGCCGAGAAAAGACTATGACGTCAACTCGAGTAGGGAACGTAGAGTTATAACTCGACTACTGGACTKGCCATAGTAAAGAGTCTTTTCGGTTTTTTGCGATCCTTCGCGTGATTTCAAAGGAAAATAAGGAAACAGTTCAAAAATATCATGTTTTCCTTTAGTTTCAGACGAAAAAAATACYTGATTTCTATGTTCTGTGAGCTGCCTGAAGAGACTGAGCTGCAAAGCCGGACTCAATCCTCTATATAAACTGAAAATGCTTCACTTTACAAACCTTTTAGTCGTCAAGCTTTCTCGCTTTCAATGTTAAAATTAATCTTAATTAAAAAACTCTTACTTTAATGTCTTTAATCATAGCTTTGACTAAATCGTGTCATACGTTTTCTGCGCATGTCAATACTACATGACGTCATAATTACCCAGACGCCCCCTTGGCCCTTTTGTATTTACGTGCGATTGAAAGCCATGTTGTCTTGTAAGGTTCAATTACTGTGAAAGTTCTTTGATTAATAAGCGTACCCAAGCCTTCATTAAGTCTGTTTTTCTTGTAGGTACTCCCTTAGCCATTATTAAGAAATAAGATGCGTGATGTGATTAATCGTGTTCTAAACCAAGAGATTAAAAACAGTTTGATGAACTGGCCTAACGCTAATAAGGCTTATAGACCTTTATGTTGTGGCAGGATTATAACTATTTTCTTAAAGTTAATATTGGTGGTCTAGTCTCGACTGCTAGTAGTTTTTCAGAAAAGTGTGTGCCTTACTCGTAATGATTTATCTCAATCCCATGAGATTCAAAAAATAAAAAACCGACGGACATGTTTGATGAATGAAAAATAGATACTAATGAGAAATCTTTTGCTGAAAGTTTAGCCAAGATGGCCGCTGCGACGTATATTCAATATACGTAAAAACGAAGAATATTACACTAATATGCATTGTATTGCAATACTATTCAAATGTATATCAATCTTTACGGGTCACTATCATTAACTGCAAAACAACATTTCAAAACTAAAAATACTTCAGCTACAGTCTTAGGAAAATGCGATATCTTTAATGACTACTAAGTTGCTTTGCATCCCTCAAGTGTGTAATACACTCGACACTGAGATATGGTGTAAATATCTGCAATATCGGACCTTATAACTCATGGTCCACCTGCTTGGGGCTACAAAGTTTTCGCGCTTCAAAAAAATYAGTTGGGGACGTCTAATGTTGATCTAATTGAGTTCTAACAGCCGAATTCAGCTGCTAGGAGTCCGAAATTTCATGAAAAATTAGAAAAACTGCCTTATAAAATGRACAGCCTAACATCAAATCGACAAATGAGCTACTTTTTAAACACCTTCAAGTTTTATCTTTAAGATAAGAAAGCATCGACGAGTAATATTAATGAAAGAGTTTATCTCTCGACAGACTTCCTTTCGATTAATAATTTATTTACTATCGTTAACCTTAATTTAATGCATCTAATTAATCGAACTTTAATGTATATTTTTCACATTTTCTACACTCAATAAATT